TTCTTTAGCTATATATATATAGCCTACCTGGCCGAATAGCTGCAGGTATGCTAGTTTTAGTATAGCTACCTCTATACTATAGCTAAGTGCTTCTATAAAGGCTTACTGTAAAGTTATTCTATTAAGCTATAAGTGCACTATTTAATTGTGTATATATATATAGTATTCGGCAGCGCATGGCTATAGGTTTATAGGCAATACAGCATCTAGCAGTAATGCCCGGGCGGCCGTTTCTGTAAGGTAATTTAAATTTTCGGCAACCCTATTTATATAAGCATTGTATAGCTTACTAAATTTAATTAGCGTGCCTTTATCTTATAGCCATGCTTTTATATTATTATTATTAGCTATATCTTTGGCATTATTAAGCCTATAGTATCCTATAGTTATACCGGCCTAGGTTTTTACTATTTAGTAGAATTGCCGGAGTTTCTATTAGCCTTAATCTTTTGTTTTATATATATATATCCAGAATTTCTATATAGAGTCTTCTATATAGAGTAGCCAGTATTTATAGCCAGTAACTGCAGCCGGCTTAAGCGGCCCTACTATATTAATATAGACTTTTTTAAACAGCCGAGTAGAAAGCGACTTTGTATAGTAGCTAATTCGCTTCTTTAATTTCAATATGCGATATACCTTACAGTCGAATTTCTTTATATTTATAATTTCCATGCTATATAAGGCTTTTGCCAAGGCCTTAATAGAATCTACACCCGAATATACTAGAATTTAATACTATTCGGCTAAGCTGGCTTTCTTTACAGGGCCTGTATAGTTCTTAGCTCTAGTAGTAGTAAATACTATTGCTCTATAGCCTGCTTACTTGTTATTAGCTAGTAGGAACTAATTAAGTTCGTTTATTACCGGGACGTATGCGATTTCGGTATTGTTATTAAGCCGGCGAATTGTATAGTGTTAACCGTGGTAGTATACACCCTTTCGGCGTATTAGGGTGTAAGAAATAATATTAATAAATATACTAGGCATATATTATATATTTAAGAACTCTAATTCTATTACAGAGCTATCCTGCTATAGGACAGTAAGGCTAACAGTTCTATAGCTAAGAATTTTAATATCTGCGCCGCCTGTAGTTATAAGGTCGGCTCGGCTCTTATATATTATAAAACGGGTCCTATTGTTGCATATATATACAGTAGAGCCTGTGTTAAAAATCTAGGTCTTTTTTAATATTCGATTGCTTGCAAATAACATTAGTTTCTTACTAAGGCCGGCGTTAAGAGGTCTAGCAGATATTCTGTTCTCTTGCGGAAGCTTAATAGCTTTATCCGCTGCATATATTATAGCTTTAGCCGCTGTATATAGTTTAGCTATACTTACTGCATATAATTTGGCCGTACAGTATAGCTTACTAGCTGCTATACAGAATTTCTTATAAGTGGCCTTATTTTCGGATTCCTACTTTTTTTCTTCTTTCTATATAATAGCTATATTAGCCTTTTTCGAAAAATCTTTCTACTATTCTAGCCGTAGCTCTAGGTAAATTTTCCAACACTTCTTAGGTCCGCCTTTATACTTTCTATTGCACTCTAAACATTTAGAGATGTTTAAATTAGTAGTAGTATCTATATTGTTTATTTTGGCAGCTATAGTAGTGCTAGAGCCGTTTTAGCCTCCTCCAGCTTTACCTGCACGGCCTCTGCTGTTTAAGGGTGCTTTATATACTGCTAGGACCTTCTCTTAATCCTTCGCGATAGATTTATCGCATAATTTATTAATAAGAGTATAAACTTCTAGTTTTTGCCCCTTTCGAACAAGCTCTTGTTGCCGCCGTGTAAATTCCGGGTTATATACTTCTATAGCAATAAGGAATTGCAGTACAGCAATCGTTTAAGTTATTGTAAGGTTATGCCTTTCTAGGTTTTTTAGATGTGTTAACTAATTACCGCAAAAATCGACGATTTTTAATAAACCATTATAGCGGTAGTTTATAAACTGTTTCCAACAGGAAATTACAGTTGAAATTCCGAGTTGTGCGTATAGCCTAACTAGGTGGTTTACTATACGCCGTGCGGTAGCATGTCCTTCCAACTAATCTAGGAAGAACGGATCGACTATAGCTAGTATAGCACCTTGTAATTCTCTATTAGCTTTTAGCTATTCGTTATAGGCTATTTCGTGTGCATTAAGTGCAATTTGCTCTTCCTTTGTATATGGAATAAGCTTTCCTTCTACATTTTTTTGCTGTACAATAGTGCACGTAGGCCTATTGCTTTCTGTAAGCTATTTGCCGTGGGCCCTGCTATCTGCAAAGGCGCTTAGCTGTAGCCTCTATTGCTTAATGTTTATACTATCTCGTTTTAGATGTGTAATCGGAAACGTAGGCATTATAATAGAGGTAGAGGTGTTGGTGTTTAAATATGTTCTAGTGCTGCGGTGCACCCGTCGAACGTAGGGCTCTGCTAAAAGCTTTTCGTGTTCGTAAGCTGTAGGCAGAGAGCTTGCTAGCGGAAGCTAGTAGGTGCTTATAACCTGAGGATAGTTGTGAAACAATACGTTGAACGGGTTAGGTAATATATTAAGTAAGGAACTATCTATCTTACATGCGCAGTATATATACTGCGTATAGGTAGGCTTTGTAAGCCGTATCGCTGGTTCTAGCTGGTTCCAGCTGGTTCTAGTACAGCTTCTTACCAAGCATACCGTATTACTAAGAGGGCTAAATATAGGATACAAACACGTACTCCGTCACCTTGCCCACGAGCGTGATAGTGGATGCAATGTACGATTGCACTATGTGCCATGGCACTTGGTTCTGCTTGCCTCTGTCTACGGCCTATAGCTGGTTGCATGCTTCTCTGAGGTATATGGCGTGCTCGTTGATGTGTTCTGGGCCATTGTTTACCTGTGGCCACTGAGGCGCCATCACCACCAATTCGACGTGTTTTCACGCGTCAATTGGCGTAATTGCCTGCAGGGACACCGGAAAACTGTAGGGATTGCAAATTATAACGCGTTCCCAAAAATTTGTTCTGAGCTGTAGGTGGTGTTTTTTTTTTTTTTTTTTTTTTTTTTTTCTTCGATAGATGGATTGATTAATTGATTGATTGGTTCATAGGCTGTCCCAGCCGCCCTAGTGGCGGCTATGCAGCGTTCAACTATAAATACATAATTTGTTATATATCTTATCCGGGGCATCAGCAGAGAGATTTTGTCTCGGGATGCCCCCGCTAATCTTATATTGGACTAGCTCAATAGCAACAAGAAATTAGTACAAGGTAGCAAGATCCTGTTCCGCACGAATAAAAAAGAGAAACCGCGAGTGGAACAATCTTAGAATAGTGTGCGGTATTGCATCCCGTATGAGATTCGCAAGTGCGTGGGCGGGATTTTGAGTGTGCGGTCATTGTTGAACAAGTGATACTGTACAGTAATCTAGCCTGCCAAAACCCATCGAGCTAACTGGACTACGTATCCTACCCCTGGTTGGGTCTATGCGGTCTCAGATACTGGATTCACTAACTCCTACATCAGCTTACAGTGGCTAAAGCTTGTTTTCGACCCCCAGACTAAGGAACGGGCTAGTATGAAACCACGGGTACTCATCTGGGATGGTTTCGGAACGCATGAAACCCTGGAAATCTTGGAATTCTGTTTTGAAAACAATATCACCCTGTGCCGTATGCCCTCTCATTGCTCGCACAAGCTCCAGCCGTGTGATGTCGGCGTCTTTGGGCCCTTGAAGACAGCGTATCGCGAACAGGTTGAAAGGTGGCAGCTGGATGCACCCCCTAGTGCGTAAGAACTAGTGTATTTGATACTGTACTAGAACGCTACTGCTACGCTGCTGCTACGCTCCTGTCACTTCTCCTTGTTTCACCATGTTCCACTCCTACCGTCTTCCAACTATATAGCCACTCGCTAGAACCTCAATACAACTCATGTCTCCCTCACTGATTCTCCCTTCCTACGCCAGCTACCAAAAGGATGGAACTGGGTGGGGTAAACACGGTCGGCAAGCAGCACTTCACTTATCTATATAGCCCAGCAAGGGATAAGGCGTTTACAAAGAGGAACATCCTTGGAGCCTGGAGAGGAAGCGGGTTGTTCCCATTTAATCCCAATAGAGTTCTCGCAGAGATACCCAAACCCCCCACCGATCTAACTATTTCGGCCCCTGATAAGCTGAAGATGGATTCTGGTCCAGACTACGAAGCATTGCCCACACCCGCAACGCCAGTATCAGGAGAGGCCTTGATGTCACTACTTGATAGGATCAAACAGATTCCTAATGATGAAGCGAGCAACCAACACAAAGCGAGGCTCCAGCAAAAGGTGGCAAATGCCGCTCAGACATATCTTGCCAAAATTGCACTGCTTTACAATCGAAATCAGTTCTTAGCTAAGGTCAACAACGAAGGAAAAGCTCGCCGAGCAGCCGATTAAAAGGTAATAGGTACAGCAAGGGTGGTGACCTATGAGGACCTCGAGGAGAAGCGAGCGGAACGCGCTGTGATGGACGCTAGGGCGGCGGAGAAAAAGGTCAAAAAGGCTGCTAAAGAAGCTAGGAATGTCGCAAGCGCGGCACTAGAGGCAGAAGGTGCTGCTACGGGCATGAAAGAACGTAGTCGGAAACGGAAGAGCGCTGCGTCAGAGCAGGAAGCTAGTAACCCAGCGCAAAGGGCAAAGGTCCCAAGAACGAGCGAAACACCAGTTGAGGAGATCGAGATTATCCGACAGCCATATAGAGCCCCAGAGGCAAAGATATACTAGCAAAAGAGCAATGGTAGTTGAAGTCTTCATCAGCCTTCGCTCTCCTATGCGCACGATTCCTTAGTGCCTCTATGTCCTGTGGTGACTTCAGCCGTTACGGCCACCGCGCGCATCGTTCTTAGTAATGTATGCCAAAGCCAAAGATGTGCCGTATAATCGGCGATGCATACCATAAAGGATGAGATGACGCTAATAACGGCCAGAACTTCATAATATTGCTTCGCGATCTTTTTCTACCCGATGTGCAACTACTGCATTGTGGATATTTCTCGTCCCTGCTATAATGCCACTTAACCATCAGACTAACTACGTCAACCCCGTCGGCTTAAGGCCGCTTATCTCAAAGTAAGGAGGTTTTCAAGCAAGCGTATTGCGGCTGGACTACTATGCAGAGGAAGTTTTATACGCACCACTAAAAAGACCGCCCGTTTAGGGACGCGTTGAGAAGACCGCTGGAGGCGCTGGAAAAACGACACTTTCAAAGTAGTCAACAGCAAAATCGCCACCTTCGTGGATAAGATCCTTAAACACGACCTTTTTGCCTAGTTCTCTTACGTGGTTCTTGGCAACCTTAACTACAGCAGATCGCATCGCACAATCGCTCTCAGGAGTAGTCGTATATACTTCGCGAATGCATTCTGGAAAAGAGTCGCTTGTCCAGAGCTCCTGTAACTTTTGTTAAAGTTTTGCTGTGGCAAGCGCTTTTAGGCCCTCTAAGAAGAACATGCTAGCAAGGGTGTATACACGAGGCTCTTTCAGCAGCGCGGGGTCATCTAGTAGTTATTAGGAAATCGAGCGCATAGGCTTAGCTTCCACCGTACCTTCGAAATCATGCGATAGATCGTCCGAATAGTCACCAGTGTACAAGTACTTAAAAACCCTCCAGTGGGCGGCTCCACTATCATCATTGAATATAAGCAACCCTGAGCTTCCCTCCACAAATGCCTCCTGAAATGCCTTTTCGAAGTACTCGCTTTGTGTGCAGATGACGGATCTGTGAACAGATAGAGAGTACGCTTCAACAAGACGATGTGCTTTCGGGATACGTGGACGAGAAGATACGGTGAGTAGACTTCAGAGACTGCAGAGGCCACAGCTGACAGGGTTTGCGCCAGGTATGACTACGACGAAGACAAACGCAAATTAGTTGTTCGCATGCCTACCGAGATACACGAACGCTTCATCGACAAAGTGGAGGATGACATTCGGAGCCAGCTGAAAACAATACAGAACGGATCAGGCAAGAAGGCAGAATTCGCACAGAAAGTGCATCCAGCCCGATCGACTTATATACGTCTCGGCGCTAGCACTTTGTCTAAGTCGAAGTACGAGCCAGACGCGTTATTCAGGCATAAAGAGGCACAATATCCAGGCGTTATAGTTGAAGTCGCATACTCGCAGAAGAAGTGGTGCCTAGGCCGGTTAGCTGAGAATTACATCTTGGATTCGGATGCTAGCATACGAGCTGTCGTATGCGTACACATTAAGTATGGCAACAAGGAGTCGCGCAAAGCAACGTTATTGGTCTGGCGACCCAAATTGCTTACTACCAATAACGGACTTGAATTACAAGCTATAGAAGGGGTCGCAGATGTGGTAGGTCCAAAACTTTTAACAACTTTCGCAATTTTCTAATGTTCCTAACAGGCTTTCCGTAATAAAGAAGGAAAGCCCGTCGATCAGCCCGGCCTACGGCTCCGCCTCAGCGAATTCGCCTACAAAGGACTTACCTAGAAGGAGATAGGCGAGGAAAATATATTTATCTATATTCCTGGATTAAAACTCTGCAAATATCTTAATGCGGCGGATAGCAAAGAAGAGCAAGTACTGGGCAAGCATGTCTTTGCAAAGGAGGTTAAGAAGCGGAAACGGTTGGAAACACCTCCTAACAAGATTAGGGCAGGTAATAAAGCAAGATACGCCGAGGAAAAGAAGAGAGCAGCGAAGCGCGCGGATTATAATATAGACTATTAGGATAAATTATTAACTAAAAGCGTTTCAGACTAGATTACTAATATTAACATGGAAAAACTACAGTAAATATAATATATCCGATAGAATATTAGATACTAGCGCTCCTTAATATGCAGTTATTTCTTAGAGCGGTCGAGGACTAAAATTATAAGGCCGAGGGCCGTATTTACAGTTCTAATAAACTGTAAGCAATTGCTATACAGAGGACAGCTTATAAGTATTATTGCCTGCTTAAGTAGAATAGGTGGCTTCGCCTGTTATAGAAGCTCTTTATTTTTAGTCTCGATAAAAATATGCTTGCTAATAAAGTATATAATAAGTTGCTTCTCTATATAGCTTGCGAAATATTAGCCTTTTTTTCCTTAGTTTTATTGCTCCTTTTTCTAAAGCTAATAACTTACAGTTAATAAGATCCTTATAACCTTAGCTATCCACTCTTTTCCTAATATAGTAACTTTTGTCTTTCTATAACTCCAGCCGCTTATAGCCGCTATAGAAGGGAAATCCGGAGGGCGTTATAGAAAAGCAACTGTTTTCTACTTATTTTAAATAGAAAACTCTGCGATCGGTGCAATAAGTTTAATAGTTCCTTAACCCGTGTTTTTAAAAAAGTGCGCCTTAAATACTTAGTTGCCTATAGGTACTGCTCTATACAGGAATTTTTTTAAGTTCTTTAGCAACTTAGAGATTACTCTCCGGGCTTAATTAGTAATAAAAGTGTTTTCTTAGTACACCTAAATATTTCCACCGGAACGCTAATAGCGCTCTTTATTATTTCTTAGGGACGGCTCTGCAAGATTAGCAGCCTAATAGCTATAAATATCGCAAAGCTTCCTATTTGCACTATATTCTAGAAGATAATTAATATTATCGATTTATCCCTAAAGTGCTGCTTCTATTAAGGGGGTTCTACTGTTTTTATTTTAATAGTCGGGTTTTGCTCTATAGTTAAGCAGAAGCTTAATAATAGCAGGATATTTCTCGCAAGCTGCTAAACTTAGTGCCGATTTGCCCTCCTTATTAATACTAAGTAAAAAAAGCTTAGCTTTAGGACTAGTATATAGATAATCTTCTATATATTTATAATTTCTAAACGTTATTATCCGGCTTATAATATAATCTAACCTTTTTAGGGTAAAGGTATTTTCTTCTCTAAAAAGCTAATATAGACGCCGAAATATCTTATCCTCTATACTAATTATAATTATTTCTATAGCCTGCTTCTAACTTTTACTATCTAAGGATCTACCCAGGTTAAGTTTATCTAGGGCCTTTTTAAGCGGTTCTACTTCCAACTCTAACACTTTTGCTCCGAGGGTGATAAAGCAGCTAGCAGGTTTATTAATTTTGTACGCTGCAGTACCTTTATATATTAAGAAAGGATATATAAAGCGATAAAATAGAACTAATAGAGAAAAGTAGTAGTTATAGTAAGGGGCGCGGAAGATACTGCTATAGCTGCTACCGAAACTGTAAGTATAAATCTTTATATAGAAAGAATATTGCACAGAAATAGTATAAGCGTTTTAACGCTGTACTAGAGCTAAAGGAATAGTTCTGTTTCTAAACGGAGCTATAACTTAATAGTAAGCAATAGTATTAGTAGGGTATAATAATTTTCAATAGTATATATAGGGGAACTTCGGATAATTATAATCGCTGGCTTACGTCTATTTATATTAGGATAGCTTTTAGCTATAAGCTTATATTATACTTAGGTGTGCACGGGATAAAGCAGGATTAGAAATAATATTAAGTAGCAGAGTATAATTAATTGTGTGTATATAGTGTCTCTTATTAGTTAGGTTACCCCGCCCGACGTTCTATATAGCTTTAATAGTAAGCTTATTAATATAGTTTTTACCTTAGGCCTCTACAGCTAATACCTTAGTCTGTAATAGCTTAGCTCGACTTCTAATATAGCTTATATTACAAGTAATTATTACGTAAGCGCGTGCTAATCGCGTTTTAGTAAAACTAGAATTATATTACTTAACTAGTAGGTACTAACAGGGGCGGCGAAATTGTATAAATTATCCTTATACCGCTGCTATAGGGCTAAGGATAACTTACAGGTATATTAGTAAGGCTAGAAGGTTAGATACTACTATATTATAACTAGAAGTAATACAGGCTAAGTAGTAGAGCTATAGTAATTAGAAGTGTTCTACTACGTTATAAAATAAGGCCCTCCGTAAATTAGGCGCGAAGGCGATAATAATATTTGTAAATTTTTAGTAGCAGCTGTAAAAAGGTTAAGAAAGACCTATTACACTTAACTTAAGTATTATTTTACAGGTATATACACGTGGAAAGGGCTTTTGCTGCTTAATAGTCTTAGTACTTATAGTTTTTCTTATAACAGAGTGGTTCTTACTATATAGTAGGGGATATTACTTCTAGATCTTTAGCTTCTGCTACTATAAGTGCCGATAAAAAGGCTTTACCTAATAAAATAAACTGCTTGGAGTTTAGCCGGATCTATAGTAGAATAGGCACCCTACCTTTTTTTCTTTTATTCTAGTGCAAGCGTTGTAGAGCAGCGATTTATTGCTAGTATCGTCCTATATAGTATAAGAACTCGTCTCCCTATTATAAAAAAATATATATAAGTTAAGTAATAAAGGAGCGTATAGCTTATAAAGCGGAAAAGTGTTAAAAAAAGGTCGCCTGTAATAAAGGCAGAGACCTTATATAGGGTTTTATAGACTTTTATATCTAGGAAATAATATTCTAAGCTTAAACGTATTTAGATAAGTAGCCTTAGCAAATTCTAAAATTAACTTATATACCTTTCTATGCGCCGAAAGCATTATCTAAGGTAACTAAGCCTCGAGCAAAGGCATATAAAACAGTGTAATATTAGCCGCCGAATAGATAACCTAATACTAGGCCAGTTCAACGCTACTAAAAAATCTTGCTAAGCTATTAAAGTAGCTGCCCTACTTACGTACTAAACCTATATTACTATACCTGTAGATTGGAAACTAACTATATTATTTAATATATATATTAAAAGCAGCTAATCTTAACTTTATATTCGCAATTTTACTTAAGCAAAGAAGTATAAAAATAAGCTTATTAATATTCGCAAATTAAAATCTAAAGCCCGCCTAAAACGCACTATATATAAGGTTAAAGAAGTGCTTAAAGTATAGAAGTTACTTTTATAGAAACTAGCAGCGCATAAGAATATTTAGTTAGAGTTACTTACGCCTATATTAGAAGCTAACCTTAAGCAATTTAAGGCGGATACAGCCTAGGCAATTTAAGCAATATAGGATAGGCGTATTTTTTAGACTATTAGTAAAACGACAGCAACCTATACCTTACGAGAGTAGTGCGTATTTACTGGACTTAAGGTTTAGGAAATATATCTATTTTAGTTAGCTTAAGTTCTAAATATATAAATTTATATAATTTTATATATAACGCGAACGGAACTAGATCTAGGTTAGCTGCATAGCCTGGAAGCAGGCTAGAATTCGGCTAACCGGATTCTAAGCGGTTGGTTAAGTTCTAAGAAACTATCTAAATTTTAGGTGGCCAGCTAATTTAAAGGGCCAGCTAGCTTAAAAGGCCAGCTAAACTTAAAAGGCTAGCCGGCCTTAAAGAGGCCAGCCGAATATAAAAAGGCCAGCTAATCTAAAAGGCTAGCTAATATAAAAGGCCAACCGACCTTAAAAAGGCCAGCTAACCTAAGAAGTTAGCTAACTTTAAAAAGGCTAGCTAAACTAAAAGGCTAGCCGACTTTAGGGGCTAGCTAATCTAAAAAGCCAATTTAAAAAGCTAGCTAACCTTAAAAAGGCCAGCTAATCTAAAAGGCTAGCTAATTTAAAAGGCTCTAGCCGAATTTAGCAGATTTTCTAGTTACTATAGTAAGTTAGATTTAATTCCATGTAGAAGCTGGAGCTATAGTTAATTAAATGCTAAATTAAATCTTTAATTTAAACGTATATAAACTCTATAAATAGCTCTATTTATAGTTTTTAGTTATTATTATTACTTTCCGCGTTTTCCGTATTATTTGCCTAAATAGGTTGCCTTTATTTTTGTATTCTATTAAGACTTAGATTCTAAATAGATTGTTTTTAGGAAAGTTTCCGCTAATAGCAGATCTATTTAATTAACTCTTTCCTTAGAAGCCTTAAGAAACAGATCCTTTCCCTTAGTATTCCTAGTTTCTCTTTTAAAAGATACTAAAATATACTCTTTACTTAGTAGTATTGTCTTCGGATCTGCGTTTATAGAGATTAAACGCGCTTATAGCAGTAGTAAAAACGGCTAAACCCTTGCCTTTGCTTAAGCTTAACTTAGGTCGCGGTTTAAGGTCGAGCTTACTGCCTATATTGTAAATAGCGTCGCTAATAGTCCGAGTAGGAATAAATCGATTGGTATTTATATATAATCCTAGACTTGCGCAATTAGGGCTAAAAGTAGGCTACAGGTAATAGACTAAAAGTACTATAGGGTATAGAGTATAGGTAAGCCTTACTTTATTAGTCGGCTAGACGGCAGCTAGCAGGGCCGAAATAGGACACTTATCGCCTTAATAGGTTTTAGCGTATATAGCCTATATCTAGGATAAGGAAAAAGCCTAGAAAGGAATATAGAGCTACTTTCTATCTCTAAGCCCTAAGTTAGTATGCCCTGCACTATAAATATATACTATACTATTTCCGGTAAGCTTATTTTTAGAACTAGGCGGCTTCTAAAAACCTAGAATTTTAATATTAGCGGGGACTAGATTTGGAACCGTA